AGTCGGACGCTCAACCGACTGCGCCACCCAGGCGCCCCCCGATCGTTTTTAAGAGAGAACCAGATGTTTCTGTCAGTAGCCCCGCTTTACCAGAACTCGCTGCACGTGTGTGGACGGACGTGCCCAGCTGCACACGGCGCACGGGTCCTCACGGGAACACGCAGCACTGTGGGGTGAGCGTGGGCCCCATGGATGCCTGAGCCCGCAGACAGGACGAAGTGAGAGGTCAACAGCAGTGACTGGTAATGAAATAGGACAGTCGTGACGACGTCCCGTCCCAGAAGGTACGCGAATGCGGTCTCCGTCTCCAGGCGTCGTACTGTTGTCGTGCACGCGCCCTCGCTCCTTTGAGGACGCCAGGTGGCAGGATGCCCACGTGACGAGGTGGAGGGAGGCGGCTGGCGCCTTGTGATGTGGCGCCAGGTGGCTGCTGACCTTGTGACCGCCCATCAGGAGGAGGGTCATCTGCCTGCTGACCACGCGGCGGGAACCGTGGCCGGGGGGCTGGCGTCTGATTCGTTCTCGTGCTGCGTCCTGTTCTCTGCATCTGGGCCGACCCCCAGCGCAAGGCGCCCAGCTGCATGTGCCCTCCTCAGAGAAACCACGAGTCACGTTTCGGTGCCAGTATGTTCCATGCCGTACTTGGGACATACTTAACGCTGCAACATGATGTTTCTCTGAAGTGCAAACGTTGGCCAGTCCCCCGACGTGCCCGGGCGGTGGGTGTAGGAAGAACCATGCGCCCGGGTGTCTGTCCTCTGTGGCTGACCCGCCCCCGGGCCCAGGAGCCCGGCCCCGCTTCAGAGGCACCCTGGGGGTGCGGGCGCCCTGACCACACGTCTGGAGGGGCTGCGTGGAGACCTGTGACAGGTCCCTGCCTGCCGGAGCCTCCCGGTCTCCCGACGACGAGACACAGGAGGATGGGTGGGGTGGGGGGAGCCTGGAGGACGCTCGCGTGGGCGTCCTGCAACCCTTGGTCCCCGGGGCTGGCAGCTGTCTGCAGTCTCGGTAGAGCGGAGGAGGGCCCGGCCTCTGGGGCCAGGAAGGCCTGGGCTTCCCGTTCAGGGGCTCGACTCGTCCCGGGCCCCCCGCCGGCCGTGCCGTAGGGTGGGGGGGGTCCCAGATGAGTCAGCACCGCCTGTGGCTGAGCGCCCTGTGATTTCTCTCACGCTTCCAGTCACCACGCTCAGCGTTTTTCCGGATCGGACAGATGAGCAACGTGGATCTGGATGACGAGCTGCTCGACCCCGTGAGTGCTAGACTCATCCCCTACCCTTCGCCTCTCACCACCCACCCCTTCCTCCTGTGGGGGTGCCGCCCGGCAGGGGGCGGACGGGGAGCGCCGAACACGAAGGTGGTGGACGGCGGGCAGGGCCAGGCAGAGCAGGGGGGCAGCCGTGGGTCATGCAGAGCTCAGGGACAAAGTGACCAGCTGTCTCGCGCGGACCCCAGAGCCTGGGCGACCGAGGGTCTTATTGCCCTGAGGCTGAGCCACGTGAGCAGAGATGGGGCAGCGCGAGCCGGGAGGGAACCCTGAGCGAGAGTGTCATGTGGGAGCACGAGACAGCTGGGGAAAGGCCAGGGGAACAGGCACCACCCGGGGGAGAGGGGCCTCGAGTGGGCCGGAGGGGGACTCTGGGGACAAGGACCTCAGGGTTGAGGGACCTTTGGACAGCGTGATGCCCTCTTGCCCTGCCCCGTGCCGAGCAGTCCGGCAGCTGCCGGGGAGTGCTTCCTGAGCCCGCCCGGCTCCCCCGACTTGCATTTGATTTCCTCCTCGGTGCCTCGTGGTTCGGACCTGCATTTCTGTGATGGCTGGTGGCAGCCCTCCATATGTCTTCTTTGCAGAAATGTCTGTTCCCATTCTGTGTGTTTTTATCAGGTTATTTGTGTTTTCGTTATTGGGTTGTAAGAATTCTTTAACTTTTTTAAAGATTTTATTTACTTATTTTTAAATTTATATTCAAATTAGTCAGCATGTAGTGCAACAGTGATTTCAGGAGTAGATTCCTTAGTGCCCCTTCCCCATTTAGCCCATCCCCCCTCCTACACCCCCTCCAGCAACCCTCTCTTTGTTCCCCATATTGATGAATCTCTTCTCTTTTGTCCCCCTCCCTGTTTTGATATTATTTTTGTTGCCTTTCCCTTAGGTTTATCTGTTTTGTCACTTAAATTTTTTTTTGAATGTTTATTTTTGAGAGAGAGAGAGACAGAGCATGAGTGGGGGAGGGGCAGAGAGAGAGGGAGACACAGAATCGGAAGCAGGCTCCAGGCTCCAAGCTGTCAGCACAGGGCCCGACGCAGGGCTTGAACCCACGAGCCGTGGGGTTATGACCTCAGCCGAAGTCGTCCGCTCAACCGACTGAGCCACCCAGGCGCCCCTCATCTGTTTTGCCTCTTAAAGTCCTCATAGGAGTGAAGTCCTATGATATCTGTCTTTCTCTGACTGACTAATTTCACTTAGCATAATACCCTCCAGTTCCATCCACGTAGTTGCAAATGGCAAGATTTCATTCTTTTTGATTGCTGAGTAATACTCCATCGTGTATATATTCCACATCTTCTTTTCCATTCATTCATCGATGGACATTTGGGCTCTTTCCATACTTTGGCTGTTGTTGATCGTGCTGCTATAAACATGGGGGTGCATGTGTCCCTTTGAAACCGCACACCTTGGGGCGCCTGGGTGCCTCAGTCAGTTAAGCGTCTGACTTCGGCTCAGGTCATGATCTTGCGGTCCGTGAGTTCGAGCCCCGCGTCGGGCTCTGTGCTAACAGCTCAGAGCCTGGAGCCTGTTTCGGATTCTGTGTCTCCCTCTCTCTCTGGCCCTCCCCCGTTCATGCTCTGTCTCTCTCTGTCTCAAAAATAAAATAAAAGTTAAAAAAAAATTAAAAAGAAAAGAAAAGAAACAGCACACCTGTATCCCTTGGATAAATGCCTAGCAGGGCAATTGCTGGGTCGTAGGGTAGTACTATTTTTAGTTTTTTGAGGAACCTCCATACTGATTTCCAGAGTGGCTGCACCAGCTTGCATTCCCAAGAATTCTTTAATTTTGATGAACTCCAGTTAACTATTTCTTTCTGTTGTTACTGTACCTTTGCTGTCTTATGTAAGAAGCCACTGCCTAGTCCAGGGTCATGAAGATTTTCTCCTGTGTTTTCTTCTGAGACTTCTTTGATTTTAAAGATTTTGTTTGTTTTGGGGGAGAGAGAGAGAATGCCCATATGCACAGGCATACGAGTGGAGGAGGGGCAGAGAGAGAGAGAGAATCTCAAGCAGGCTCTGTGCTGCCCGCACGGAGCCCGACTTGGGGCGTGATCCCACAACCCTGGGATCATAACGTGACCTGAGATCTATGCTCAACCGACTGAGCCACCCAGACGCCTCGAGAGTTCTATGATTTTGGGTCTTGAATCTGTTTGTCACTGATTTTGTCTGATGGAAGGTGAGGGTAGAGCTTCACTCTTATGGATGTGGATGTCCAGTTCCCTAGCACTGTTTCTCAGAAAAACCCTTCTTCTTTCCACACTGAGTTGTGTTGGCACCGTGTTCAAAAGTCAGCCATCCACGTGAGGCTCTGGGTCCCCCTTGTCTCCACCGATCCCTGTGTCTGTCCTGGAGCCAGGGCCACACTGTCCGGGAGACCGGAGCTTTCATGTGAGTCTTGAAACTAGGAAGTGAGTGTCCTCCAACTTTGTTCTCCTTTTTCAAGCTTGTGTTGGCCGCTGGAGACCCCTTGTGTTTCTGTGTGGTTTTTAAGCATGTCGGTTTCTTTGGGGACGCCAGCTGGGGCGGCCCGGGACTCGCTGCTTCTTCTTAGTGCTCAGTCCTCTGACCTGTGAGCACAGTGTGTCTGTCCACATATTCACATCTCTAGGTTCTCTCAGCGGTGCGTTGTGGTTTTCAGCACACACGTCTTACACTTCCCTTGGTAAATGTATTTTAGGAGTAAGTATCATTTCATATATTGTACTTTTGGTGCTAACGTAAGTAGGGTTCTCTTAATTTCATTTTTGGTTGTTCATTGCAGGCATTTAGAGATGTGTTTGATATTTGCGTGCTGATCGCGTATCCTTCAATCTTACTGAATGCATTATAGTTTTAATAATTTTTTAGTATGTTTTTTGAGATTTTGTGTATACAAGATCATGTCACCTGTAAATAGAGAGTTTTGTTTCTTCCTGTCCACTCTGGATGCCTTTTCTCTCTTGGTGTCTGACGGGCCTGGCGGAGCCTCCAGGACGAGGTCGAGCGGAAGTGACCATCCTCGTCTTGTTCCTGGTCTTCCGGGAGGAGCTTCGGTCCTTCGCCATCGAGGGTGATGACTGACGCCTCGACCAGGTTGACGTGGTTCTTTTCTTTGTGACATATTTTTGTCATGAAGGAGTGTCGAATTTTTATCAGGCACTTTTTCTGAACTTACTGAGATGATTGTGTGGATTTTTTCCTTTATTCTGTTGAAACGGTATTGAACTGTTTTTACTCAACCACACTTCAGACACCAAGTGTGTGGGTTTTCCTCGCCAAGCAGTTCTCTGCAGACGTCGACCGGGTGTCCTACAACTTAACTCAATTCTGACACTCTTATCCGGCATTATGCAGATGCCCGGGGCTGAGGGCCCAGTCCCACGAGACCA